GTAAGGGAAGGGAGGGACTGATGAGCCTCCAAAGCTGGTTTGCCAATCCATCAGGTCAAACAGAAGCAGCACTGCAAGACCAGGGGACTAAGCTGCCCATCCTTGACCCACTATCCCATGGATATTAGAGACTGCCTGCCTCTTCAGTGACAGCCCCTAACTCCACTGGAGATGTCCACCAAGACATCAGTCAGTACCCGAGCCCCCCATCTAACAGCACACATATTCTGTCAGGAAGAGAGCAGAAAAATTATTTTCAAAACAGAACTTATCACAAGCTAAAGAAGACATCTTTCTCCTTTTATAGTTCACCTTTGAACTGCAGATGCACAAAAGCAATCATCACATCCTACCTTCCTGCCTGGTTTCCTTCCCTCACTCCTGGGCAGCTGCAGCATGCCAGCACTTGCTCATTTTTAAACCAACCCAATGTAATTTTTATGGTTCCACCCATTGGCATATTTGGCACCGAGAGAGACACTGCTGTTTTATTAATAGCTTCATGCTGGCCCAGCTCTATTGTATGCAGGATTTCCACAGCATCATTACAACGCATTTTTCACTATTTCTCCTCTCCTTCCTCGCATGCCACTCAAGGAGAACAAACTCCAGTCCTTTATATAGCTCTTCCTGTTCCTCAATATTCACCTTGCTCCTCCTCTTTTCTCCCTGTCTCCTTCCCCACCCTCCATGACAGCGTCTCAGCACAGCCAGAACAGGTGACCTCTGTGGCACCACGTCCTCAAAAAGCCTTCACAGGAATTTAATTTTGAGAGCACGTTCTTTGTAAGAGGTCCAACACCAGCCACAGCATATGGGGTATTTGGAGCAAAGCTGGAAAAGGAGCACAGTCATTTTAAGTCCCAAAGTTCAGTTACTGCACAATGACAATTCTTCCTTTCTTCTTCAAAAGAGACAGGACAAACTTCTAGCTTGGACTAACTTTATGAACTGCTCACTAACAGTGATAACTGCTATGCAAGTGACCCCTGAAAGACAAAGTCTGGCAGCAGACATGAAACATGCTGGTAGCATTCCATTTTGGTATTAATATGGGCAAGGCAGTAAGTGGTTTGTACCCAGGATTAATGGTTAAAAAGACACAGGATAAAAAAAAACAAACTGATCAATGTGACAACATATACCTATTTTCTCTTTTAATCTTCTCTACCATATCCATCATTTCATGGTATTCAAGCAAAAGGCTTCTCCAACATGATTAAAACATTGCTTCAGCACACGAGGTGCATGGGACCCAAACAAGCTTTAACTAATAGTGTGAGCCTGAAGCATCAGGCATGCAGATGTCCACCAGGTCTTGGCTGACACACCGGTCTTTCCAGGATTAATTTCAGCAGCTTACAGAGGACCCTCCCACAAACTCCACCAGACAGGCCAGCCCTCTGCCAAACTCTCCAGTGTGCATTGCTCTGAGCATTGTCACAGATCTGATCAGAGTGTTTTGTACCACAGATTCACCTTTAATGGAGGTGGCTTCCAAGAGTTTCACTGATTGCACAGAACTGTCCTGCTATGAGATCTATCAGTCCATCCTGAGCAGAGAGCTCACTTGTGCTGCACTAACTTCTGTCTTCAAGTTGAGCCCCAGCCACAGGAATAGAGGAGGGTCCTATGACTTTTCCTGAAGAGTTCACCACAAGAACAGGCACAGCATGGATTAAAGACTTTGGAACACAAAGTAACTAGACACAGGTACTAACATGCTGCTGATTGGGAGGATTTGTTCACCCACACTTCAGCCTGAACAACAATATTAAGAACGGATGTGCTAGCTAGAATTCATAGTTCTTACAGCCTAAGGGTCAACACCAACCTCTTGGAGACCACAGCTCCTTTCACTTGCCATTTCACACTGCCAGTTATTACCCCCACCAAGACTAACACACACATCAAAAATCCACAGTTTAAAAAGGCATCAAGAAATAGAGAATCCATCACTTCCCTGGATATCTTCCAACAGTCAATAACAAAAAACCCTACACTCACTCAGGCATTTAATTTCAGTCCATGTGGACTTATTTTGCAGTAATTTATTTGCATTATGCATGCCTCTTACTACGTCAAAGTTTCCCTTTGAGAAAATAATTGAAAATAGTCCACTTTTAGTCCCTTTTCAGCTTTTCAGTGAGCTCTGAAGATGGAGTTTGCTCCATCTTCAGTCTCCAAAACATTTCAGTAGCTCCCAATTCCATCTTTTTCTCAGTTTTTCAATACTAAAGCCACTACTCTGAAGTTCATTTTCCCAAATGCTGCTGGGTGCAGAGGCAGCAAATAGTTCCAGTGACTACCTCACTCTTGTAATACTCACATTATCCACTGGGCCAAGCAGGACACCAGGAAGCTTTGTCAAGTTACCTGCCCACTGTTTCCCTAAAATTCTCTCCACGCCACTTAGTTCCAAACATCAACCTTGATGCAGAAGATAAGGCCACAGCTTTTAGTACTGAGATTCACAACCCTGCAGTTAGGTCATAGATTGGTATCAGTTCAAGTCAGGAAAAGACCCAAAGCACTTAACAAGACTACAGGTAGCATTCATTTTATTTACCACCCTGTCAGTCTATCACTCATACTCAATTTCTCCCCACAACAATTCTATATCTATTACGAGATCAGTGATAAAAATGTTTATGATAAGTCCTCTTACACATCCCTATGGAGCCCACTTAATTAGGATTCACTATCAATGTCAAGACTTGTCACTAAACCTGCGAGTAGCTGAGGAGACCTCCTGTCTCCTGATGTTCTTTCTTCATAAACCATAAAACAGATTAGAGAACTTTGCTTGCAATACAGTTGGTAAGTGCTCCACAGCCACTGCAGAGTACCAGTGTCTTAGAGGAGGTTTCTGTCTTTTGAAAGGAAGGGGGGCTGAATTGAACTCTCATGCAGTAAATCAATGCTTAACAGGTGGCTGAATATATTAGAGCTATGAAGTTATTTCTACTAATCAATCCATTTTCTCATTTCAAAAAGGACAAAAGCAGCTACCTTCAGTAGGATTTGGTTTTCATAGTTCATTTTTAAGTAACGCAAGGTGGAGACAGGAGTAACCGATACCTTTCGGTATTGTCAGCTCAAATTGACACAAGACAAAGCAACGACCAACCAGCCCACTCTTACCCTGTTCTCTCACTCCCTGCACAACTGTTCTCTTCCCCATCTTCTGGAGTATTCCTGCCACCCCAAGATCCCCTCAGCTACTTCTCCCAATGCTTTTTTTTTTTTTACTACTACTAACAGATGCTGAATTTTACAGCTCAATCTCTCTTTATCAATTAGGCACCTGGGAGATACTGTGAGTACCATGCATGGCACAAGAGCATCATACATCTCTTCCCCAAACACCATATGAATAATTTTTTTTTTCTGTATCTTTTTTGGAAACTGAGCCTACATGCTTACTAGAATTGAGTCTTTTGAGAAATTTTTTCTCTCTCTCTTCTTATATTGTTTTCCTCAACTTTCTTATTGTACCAGCAACAGTCAACTGTCACCTAGTTTCTATTTATCAATGTCATACTACATTTTTAATTACCTCTTAGGTTCATGACATGTTAGCAGATATTATATATATTTTTATGCTCCATGATTTCCTTGCACATTGCTGTGCTAACTGCCAAGAATATTCAGTCACAGATTATTTTACTCAATTCCAAGTAACCGCTACTTTTCCTCCTCCATTCTCTCTTCCCTCTCCAAGAAACCTGTTTCCTATCAGGGAGGAGTTAAATGTTCCAAAGCTGAGCTGAGGTTCAAAAGACTCTCAGACTTGAGAAGCAGCCACAGGAATTCTGTGTCACATACGACCCAAAACCAGTTGTTCCTTTTGGTGGAGGCAACAATTTCTTGCTCTTATACCTCTTTAAAGGTCTCTAGCTCTAGGTAACTGTCAAATATATCCCTCCTCATCACTCTTACCTAGTTCAGTATCCAATAATCAGAAGGGAGCAGACAAGACACCATTGGCAGGAGAGAAGGTAGACATGATCCTTGCAAAGCCTTTTTTATCTGTAGATCACAGTATCATCATCCTTCTGTAATTCAAGGGGCAACTTCCTCTCTGGAACAAAAGCCTCAGGGCAGAACCCAGCCCTTTCATGAAAGAGCCAGTTTGTGCACAATCTCTGCTGCTTTAATTTGCAAACTATAATCCTCACAAGTGTGTTTTGATGCATCTTAGCCCTTGGGTCTAGGGGAAAACCAGGTACCAACTTAACAGTGCCACCACAAACAACTGCAGAGGAACAGGAATGCAAGACTCTTATTCTTAGTCCCAGAAACAGAAAGGAGGAAAAAAAAAAGGTAGGAGCACAAAGTCAAAAATAGCTCCTTTCAGGTCCCTCCCCCAAAAGCATTTAGGTTTAGTTACTGCATTCAAACTGCAGCCCTTTAATCAAGGAATCCTACTTATTCATGAGGAGAACTGTAGCTAGACAAACCTTTCAAACACTAGGTCTGCCATCTGGCAGCAGCACTGAGGCCTGATCCCAGACACACACAGGCTACCGGTAATTGCCCTCACGTGGAATTGCAAGGCACTGCAATTGTTCTGGCATTTAAAACCTCCGTGGGCTCCAGATGGGGATTTTTTTGTCTTTGTGGAAAAAAGGTACAATTAATTACGATATATTTTCCCCACAAATACCTTTCATTTTCCTCTCCCCAGTTATTTCTGTCATTTTCCAGCAGAAAAAAACAGATTGAGAGGGCACATGGATAAGTATCTAAAAGAATTCATACCAAGGAAGAAAGTGTCACATTTCTCCTGCTTTCCCTGACTCCGTGGATTTGATCCTGCCCAGTGGGGAATGAAGTTCTTCTGAGGGATTGCTCTGTAGGTTTTTCTTTTTTCAAATAATTTCAAATCATAATGGAAAGGTCACAGGCATAATAACATCTCTACTGAAAGTGGCAACTTTGCATCCTTGAAGAGGTACATGTAAGAGAAAGGAGAATGAAAGTATCTGGATACTTACATTTAGCTTCAGACAGATTCTGGTTAGGTGACCAGACCAGCATGCCGAGATTCTCTCTCTCCTGACTTCGTCTTGCAAGTTTGGCTTAAGAGAAAACAGATACAAACCAAGTTACAGAGATAATAATTTCAGATGCAAAATGGATATGAAAGTCACTTATCAGACATTTGCAGCTTTTAATCAAGATACAAAACCCATCCACAGAATTAAAACCCCATGTTCCCATTCAGTCCTGAGGCTTTTCCTTGTTTCTTCAACACATCACCCCCTATATAACATGACAGATACCGCACACTTGCTCCTTCATGCAGTACACTAAGGAGCATACATTAGATCTAAATTAAAAGTTAATTATGTTTCTCTTTCAGCATACTTGATTATTTTTCTTCCAGCCATCACTAAATGAAAAAGGGAGGAGCTAAGCTCAGGCAGCAGGCTCCAAGCCCTTGACATCATGAGACTGTACTGTGCAGCCAGATTAACACTTCAGGGTAGACACATACATCAACCTCCTGGATTTCACTTCTCAGCACCTCTTCCCCTTCCCCAGTAGCCTTTCTATGCCTCCATTCCCCATGCTGACACGAAAGCTCACCAAGGTGACAGAGTTCCACAGGTCAGAATGAGGTCCCCTACTCAACTGCCCCAGAGAAATTCTTGTGCATTCACACTCACACAGCACCCATGCACCCATGCTCAGAAAGCAGGTCTGTTTTTAACCAACATAACACCTGTCTGGCATAAAAGCACTGAAAGTTCCAAGTGAAAGAATCAACCCTCGACCTAAGGTACATTTCAACAGCAAGTTCTTGTGAATCTGCTGTTGTTTGGTCACAAGCAAACAAAAGAGGAGGAGGAGGAGAAAGAAACTTGCTCTGTCTAGTAAGCACACACAGCCAGCTCAACTATCCACCCCAGCCAAGAGAAACTTGCAGGTCTTGTTATAAACAAGTGCCTGCAGAACTACCTCCACTACAAAACATCACAGAACACTGAAGTTTTATGCAGCATTTCAACACAATGCTATTTTCCCCACACTGTGCAATTAGGCATAGAATCATGAAGGTTGGAAGGGACCTTAAAGATCACCTAGTTCCAACCCCCCTACCATAAGCAGGGAACCCTACCACTAGACAAGGTTGCACAAAACCTTGTCCAACCTGGCCTTAAAAACCTCCAAGGATGGGGCATCAACAACTTCCCTGGGAAACCCATTCCAGTTCCTCACCACCCTTATATTGAAGAATTTCTTCCTAATATCTAACCTAAATCTCCCCTCTCTCAGTTTAAAACGATTACCCTTTGCCTTATCACTATCTTCTCTGATGAAAAGGCCCTCCCCAGCTTTCCTGGAGGCTCCCTTCAGGTACTGGAAGGTGCTATAAGGTCTCCCCAGAGCCTTCTCCTTTCCAGGCTGAACAGCCCCAATTTTCTTAACTTGTCTCCATAGTAGAGGTGCTCCAGGCCTTTGATCATCTTGGTGGCCTTTCTCTGGACCCTCTCCAACAGGTCTGTATCTTTCTTGTGCTGAGGACACATAACTACCACTTCATGATGCCTTAAACAAATAGGTGAGAAAAGACCTAGTAGCACAAAAGATGCAATGCCAGGACCCAGTCTCATGGCACAGGGTATGAAATAAGCTCACGTCTCTGCTGCAGCAGAAAGAGGCCTGCCAGCACCCAGCTCCTGCTCATCTGTATGTTTAGTAATTACAATGCCATGAACACTTATGGTTTGACTCCTGTTTTTAACCTGAAATCTGCTCATCTAACAATACTCAGCATTTGGATGACAAGAATATTTTAACATTAAATTTAAAGCACAAATAGAATGCATTAAAAATAACCTGTTGCCAGTAACATATTTACATGGAACTAACAATTTTTTTCCATGACAAACACCATGACTATCTTTCACACTGTTTGGTTTGTTTTTTAATAAGGCTAGCAACTGCACACACAAAATATTTTGTGCGCTGTGTGTGTTCATTACTTTCTACGCTAGGCAGAAAAACATGAGCGAGAAGAGACAACAGCCTCTGGTGGTGAGAGATGGGGGGTGGAGACAGGTTCTATACACAGAACATGAAGGGTGTCAAAATTACAATACTGAATTTAAAATTATAACTTCACAAAAAAAAAAAGTTTTGAAACATTTAAATTTTGCTTTCTCCCTCATTTCAAGTCTATGTTGGAAATGCAAAGACAGAGGCAACCTTAAGCCTTCCCTTTCTCATTTTTTGCTCTCCCTGTCCAGGATGGTCTGCCCTACTCAAGTCCAACATAGGGCTCAAAACGTGCAAAGAAAAAGAGTCTCTTTCATTGCTTTGAACTACACCAAGAATGTTCTTATCCCATAAAAACACTCCAAGACAGAAATAATCTATCAGGTCTCCAGGAAGCTAAAACACTTTCCTCCCAAATCCCAATGCATCCCCAGTAACCCACTGCAGTTCAGGAGCCCAATGTCCAAATCCTGCCAGTGAGGCCTAACACTAGGCAGACACAGACATTCTCAGAAGTCCAGTGCTAACGCCATCATAAATACACACAGCCCAAACACTCTTGTTACACGAGGTAGCAAGCAAGAGCTTAAGAGCTTGATCAGCATTTGAAAGTCTGTTGAAATTATTATTTCAGATCATCAGCCATGAGAGTAAAAGAGGGGCTTAGAGAAAAGCTGTTATTACATCCCTTTCCCCCATCTTTCCAAGCACACCTGCAAGGCTCACCAACACAGGGGAATTCCTTCCCCCCTTCCCTGCTTCTGGACAAAGGATGACCAGGGTTAATTCAAACACTCTATACTCCAATGACAAAGCTAAAAAGCTAATTTAATTTAATCAATTATATTTTATATAATATTAATTTATATTTTATATAAAAATAGCCACATATGGAGGGCAAGGGTTACTCTTTTTTAGGGAAACAGATCAATCTAGGATCAATGGGGTTGCTTGTTTAAGCAACTACAGTTAAACCAGTGCAATCTGTGTTTAGAGAAGCTGTATATTGGTTGATGAGATCATCTGAAGTTTCAGTTAATCCTTCACTTTCATCTAGGCTATTCACCAGGTATTTGTGAAGTCTCTGCCACAGCCATTAGCTCCCAGTCACAGCTGTTGTAGGAGCAAACACTCTGTAATCACTTTCCCACTGCTGGCTTTCCTACTTGTAGCAAATCCGGGAGGAATCATGGATGCTCCCTCCACCCCCAAGAGGAAGACCACCTACCCCAAGCAGCACCCCCTACATTTTGTTCCATTACCAGAATTCACATGGGATGCAAGCTCCTTTGTCTTTACCCAAGCAGAGATGTACAGTCTCAAGCAGGCACAGTATCCAGTTGCTTTTTTCCACAGCAGTTCCCATCCCTCTCTTCCCTCATGCCCAGAACATACCACATCCCCATAGACTACATGCTGACAGAACCAGGTTAAAACTCACTCTGGGTGAAGAAACTGATACTTCTTAAGTTAGTCCCATTTACAGATATGGTTTACTGCACAAGTACAAACAGTTCAACTGTCCAAGGGGAGAGATGAGGCAGGGCAGAATATCCATACATCACCATTATTCTAAAAAGAAGTTGGGGGCCTGCTTTGTTTTGTTTCCTGGAGCTGTGAGGACACATCTCAACACCAGCATGCAGTCGGCCACACAGTATGTAGGAATATATTGATTTGCACATCAGAGAGACAACACCACTACTGGAGTTCCGATCACTTCTGCCTGTAGGCTGCAAGAGCAGCACACTGCAAGATGTGAAACCCTGAGCCACAGCAGCTATGGCTGTTCTCAAACTTTTGGAAAGCTGTTGCAAGACTACACAACAGAGATTTCAACCAGCAGCAGTTAGTTCAGACTCCAAGAGGTATTAGGCTGATTTTTTTAAAAAAATATTGACTGAGTCTTTGAAGCTTGTCTTTTTCCTGCTGTGAAGTTTACTACACAGGACAGCCCCACTCCCAAGCACCTGTCTGTCCAATTTTCATTTGCATATAGAAATCATTCTGCTCTCCCACTACCACCCACAAAGTTTAATGCCTCAGGGGTAAACCCACTTTAGACCCCATACCTGAGTGATCCCAGCTCACACAGGAGTAGGAGAAAAAAAGAGTAAAGTCAGAGCAAAGAAAAAAGCAAACCAAAACTCCTGAAAACTACCCACTCCCTTCCTCCCAGCACCAAGCACTAAATACCTTTGAGAGTCCTCTGACTGAAACTCTGAGTCCAGACCCCCCTTCTACACCAAGAGGTATCTGAGGGGTTCTTTTGCAGATACTGTAGCTTCATATTTTCTCTTAGGCAAACCAAAGTTTTACCAGAATGAGAACTATGTGAATAAACTCAGTGTTGAATGTGCTGCAGCATTTGTCATCACAAATACATTTGTGTTGACATTAAACCACAGATCTTTGTTCAGGCTCTCTCCAGAACATTGCAACAGAGCCAAGACATGCTCCTCAGCCACCACACTCAGCAGAGTTGCTGCAAATGGACAATAAAGTAGGGCTGAAAGCAACAAGTGTGCTTCTCTCCTCATCTCTACCAGAGTGCTAAGTCAGGATACCTGCCAGAGAAAGGGAAATGGGCATATCTCCAAACAGAAACTACCAAAGGCCACTGCACACAGAGTCCCCACTACAGGTCAGAGAGTACCTCTCCCATCCTTCTGACCTCTCCCCAGTTTCAAGTTAGCCATGGAGAACCTAACATCAGTACAAAAGGAAAGCTGTGCCTGTCAGGAATACCACTCCTTTCATCTCGCCTGAGTGTCCACTTTGCTAAGATGAACTAAGAGCCTCTGAAGAGCTGTGTCAAAAGGCCAAAGGGTGAAGCTTGCACTTCACCGCTTGAATCTGTCCAACACCTCAGCACTTCTGAAGGGAGAGGAGGTCCTGCTCATCCAGCATTTTTCTGCTCTCCTGACTCATGCTCCCTGCCTCTCCCAGCCATCCTGTGTTGACTCTGGCATTTATCCCTCCAAGCCAAGCACATTTGCTAAAACTAACCTGGCAAAACAGAAAGTAAACAGCATTTTCCCCAGCCATTAAATCAAATCAGCTGGCTGCAAAATAA